TATATATATATATATATATAGAGAGAGAGAGAGAGAGAGAGAATTAGCACTCAATTCTAGAAATTCCTTTCGATAATCATTTTGGTAGAAAATTTGAACAGAATTTGAAACAGACTAGAATGACTAATTTGCACTCAATTAGGAGAAACATTTGCTGAGTAAATGTGAATGTAATGCTAAATTTTATTGTGATCATCAAAGAGTGCTTGCATGGTAAAGTTCTTTTGCAAAAAATGACAAAACAATATGAAAGAACCTAAAACATATATTGAAGAAAATACACACATTATGTTGTGAGGGGGAAGAGAAGAGATAATTGGCTCTTTTGGGGTCACATTGGGACAGTAATTGCCTTGGGTTTTGACATGGCTAACATGTGAAGGGTGGTTTTATTTGCAATTTCTTAGGTGTGCAGTTCTTGAGACTTAGGAATTTTGTAGTTTGCAGTGTCCCTACAATTTCTCATAGTTTTCTGAAACAAACTAATCTAGGAACTAAATTGCGAACCCACACCTTTAATACTTCCTTTTCAGGTCTCTGATAAGAAATTCATGCAATTGTTATTATTTCTAAATACGTGGTTTAGTTTTTGGTTGTGTACAAGTTAGTTGTTTCTCCTATCAATATCAAATGGTAATGAACTACTTTTGTTGTCTAATGTAGAATGAATGAAAATGAAAGGTTTACATTGTTAATCTGTAGTTAAAATATCAGCATGCATGCTTGAAAATTATTTTTGGACAATTTATTGCTTATACATTCAATGCTTATGAATTCTCCATACTCATGATTTTATAAGTAAGACATGCTCTCTATGCTCTATTTTAAAAGTTGTCTGAGGTAAGGGCATGTAATTAATTTGTTTAAAGCTATTATAATTAAGTGCAAGCTTTTCTTTGAATCTTATTTCTTCAAACCGCTCTCAGCTCCAATGTACAAAATTTGGTTTACATAACGATCTTTTGGGAGCAATAAGAGACATTACTGCTAGCAAAATTTCCCAGCTATAAAATATAAAGGACAATAATCTCTGTTGGGGAGAAACCCCTATGCCGAGATCCAACCAAATAGCCGAAAGAGATAAACCAACACACCAACAAGAGCACAAACACAATCAACACCAGATTTTACGTGGTTCGGCGAGATGCCTACGTCCACGGGGCAAGGAGGGGGGGGGGAGTTTTTACTATTAGAAATCAAGGGGATACAACTAGGGTTACAACTCTCTCATAAACCCTCAACAAATCAACTCTTGATCTCACCAATTGCTCCTAGAATAGAAGTCCAAAGAAAACTCCTTTCAACAACTCAAAACACTTGCCTTACAAACCCCAGAATCGAGTTTGAGTATTTATAGAAAACCCAAACGAAACGGGTCTGGAAAACAGACCCAGCCCAAACCGCTTCGGCGGTCGATCGCGGCAGTCGCGCGGTCGACCGTCACGGTCGACCGCCCACACTCCAGAACAGGCCCAAGGTCCAGAGACTTCTGCGGTCTGCATCCAGTATGTCATGGCAACGGACTCATGACAACGGAGCCCATCCACAACATGTCGAGACCCAAACGGGAGTGCGAACACTCACCCCAAAACAACTGTGTCTACTCACCAAATCGGCTACATCATAACTGACTGCTTACGTATCCTCTCCAAGGAATCAAGCCTTCACGTAGTTCACCCAATGGCCTCCAAAGGCCCTCAATGCAAAAGAATAGTCTTCAACTCTTCACCAATACTAACATCCAATGCGCGACTGATAGCATCACCAACGGCCCCATACTGAAACGATCCAAACACCTACACCTGAGGTGAACCAATGGCCATATCCAAGCTATATCCACCAGCTGCACACGGATCTACTAACTCGTCATCTGCATCCTGAACAATCTGATCCCCAAACTGTGTCACCTCAGCCGGAATCCCAACTAATGCAAAATGACCTGGAGTATGTGGAATAAGCTCCACCCGATGTGGAGTAGCATCAACCTCCACCCGCTGCGGTATCCCTCTGATCTGATCAATACTCTCTACATGCCAATAGTCCAAAGTGACAAACCTGCCCAGACCAAACTCAGAAGCTCCCAACTGATAGCCGAATGAACTCCTGAATTCCAAATGCGCAATCGGATCCAATCTCACATCAACGATGTGACCAAGTGCTGGGTAGCCAAATATCCGACGCCGACCAAAACCTGAAGCAGCTCTACCAGATCTAACAACTCTACACGCAGCAGTCGGCAACCTCATAAGATGGTCCAATGTCAAAGCCTGAATACCAAATCCACTGCTCGACAACCAACGCCGATCCTCCTCCAGAAAAGAACGGCCCTCTGAATCCACCATCTCATCACATCGCCCTACTGTCCCCTCTCCTCTAAAGTGTCTCCAACTGCCATGAGCTCGGCACCAATGCACAAAAGAACCCTTACTAGAACTAGCACGACGGGTAACCTTTCTGCCCATATACCTCCTCCAACTGTTGCAGACTACTAGGGCTTCAGACCAACGGGACTTAGTTGCAACCCATATATGCCTAGTACAATCCTCAACATAGGAAACAAAATAGCGATTACCTCCCACTGATGCCTCCATGGAAGGCCCCCAATGCCTGACTGAACACCTCTAATAAGACCACTCGATCGATGGATAGAAGTGCTGAACTCCATATTGGTCTCCTCGCTCATCCCAATGTGCTCACAGGATTTCAATCTGCAGGTCATAGCACTCCTCAACAATCTATGCACGGCATAACCAATAATATACCCCAGCACCAACCAATGCCACAGTCTAGCCAAAGAAGTCGTCAGCGCTCTATCAATCACCGTGCTCCCAAGCAGATAATATAAGTTACTCCTCTTGACGCCCTTCATCACAATCATGGACCCCGATGTGACCTTCAAGCGAGAATCCGCCAAGGTCACCCTATAGCCTGATGCCTCCAATACCCCAAGTGAAATGATGTTCTTCCTCAGTTGAGGAACAAACCTCACATCAACCAACTCCCGAATCATTCCGTCACTCGTCCGAATACGAACAGTACCAATACCACCAATAGGACATCTGTGATCATTACCCATAAGTACAACATCTCCTCTTTCCAACTCCTGAAAGCTGGAGAACCAATCCCTCCTAGGGCATATGTGGTAAGTAGCACCCGAATCTAACATCCACTTGGTGGAGTCGGCAACACCAACTGACGGAAGAGCTGAGCATGAATAGCCCGAAGAATCTGAATCTGAAATGTCACCACTAGCCTTGGCAACATTCACCTTTGAAGCTTGAACAGCTTTCCCCTTATTCTTCACGGCTTGCAATTTTGGGCATTCGGCTTTCAAATGTCCATCTTCTCTACAAAAGGCACACTGATTCCTGCCAACTGCAGGAGTCCCCCTCTAGACTGCGACCTCCTACCACGGTTTGAACTTCTAGCTCTTGCAACCAATGCCCCGCAACCGGCTCAATGGAAGTCTCCTTGTCCTTCTTTCGAAGTTGATAGTTCACAAGGGCTGCGGTGACCTCACTATACGAAAGAGATGCCTTCCCACTAATAAGAGTGAGGACGAATGTCTCATATTCCTCGTCGGGCAAGGAACTCAATAACAACAATGCCTTGTCTTCATCTTCAACAATGACATCTACGTTCGCCAAATCTGCAAGTAGCTTCGTGTAGTGGTTCATGTGATCACTAATGAATGTCCCCTTCTTCAATTGGAAGCGATAAAGCCTCCTCTTCAAATGTCTTCGTCAAATATTTGCCCTCTAGAACCTCCCAAATCTTCTTTGCCGAAGTTTCATTCATCACATCATATTTTAGATCTTGGGTAAGGCAAGACCTAATCACACCACACGCTGTTCTATTCATTTTATTCCAAACCTTTTCATCAATGTCGGCCGGTTTTCCGTCCAACTCCAACGTATCTTCCAGATTTTACGCATTTAGCGCATCCATGACTTCACATCGCCAAAGTCCAAAATTATTTGTGCCGTTGAACTTTTCCACATCTATTTTTATAGAATGTATATTCAAACTTTGGACTGCCTTCACACTAGAAGAACCCTCCCCGCTTTTATCTTTTTCGGCCATATATCTCAAAGCACCCAAACTATTGCGGAACAAACAAGAAATAGATCCAACTTGAAAAAGATAGAAACTTTACCACAAAGATTCCACCTTTATCACCAATCGAATCTCTAGATGAACTTCCCAACTGATCTACACCTCCAAAAAAAGCCCAAGCGTTGCCCGGAGCTCTGATACCAATTGTTGGGGAGAAACCCCTATGCCGAGATCCAACCAAATAGCCAAAAGAGATAAACCAACACACCAACAAGAGAACAAACACAATCAACACCAGATTTTACGTGGTTCGGCGAGATGCCTACGTCCACGGGGCAAGGAGGGGAGAGTTTTCACTATTAGAAATCAATGGGATACAACTAGGGTTACAAATCTCTCATAAACCTTCAACAAATCAACTCTTGATCTCACCAATTGCTCCTAGAATAGAAGCCCAAAGAAAACTCCTTTCAACAACTCAAACCATTTGCCTTACAAACCCCAGAATCGAGTTTGGGTATTTATAGAAAACCCAAATGAAACGAGTCTGAAAACAGACCCAGCCCAAACCGCTTCGGCGATCGACCGCGACAGTCGACCGCGAACCTGCGCGGTCGACCGCCATGGTCGACCGCCACGGTCGACCGCCCACAATCCCAGAACAGCAGTAGAATCCAGAAACTCATGCGGTCGACCGTGGCAGTCGACCGTCCCGAAAACAGAAACTTCTGCGGTCGACCGCCGCGGTCGACCGCCACTGATCCAAACGCCCAGAGCCTCCTGTGCACGAACGCGGTCGACCGCAGCGGTCGACCGCCAATCTGTCTGCTTCCATAACTGCTTCTGAGCTCCATCTCTACAATCTCTATGGTTGATTTCTAGTTTAATGATTTCTGTTTCAGAGTATTGACCCCCAAGACTTCTTGGAGTGTTGTGATTCTTCATTCTGTCATTTATTCATCATATAGTTGCCAATATTTAAATCAAGTGAATATTTAAAACGTAATGAAGTTACAGCTATCTACAGTAGTAAACCCAATATTTAAATCAAGTGAATATTTAAAACGTAATGAAGTTATGGGCTGTTTGGTTGGTTTCCTAAAAACCAAGAATATGAATTCTTTGTAATTTTTTTATTAAAATATTATTTTTATCCATTTCTATCCCTAAAACTCACTCCAAGAAAAAAAAATCTATACACTTTTATTAATAAAATTGTATTTTTATCCACCATCTCATCACATATCATCTCCTTTCTTACTTTTAAAAATAAACCAAACACAAGAAATAGGTCACATCATCCAACTCATCTCATCTCATCTTTAAAAACCACTCACATCATCTAATAATATGGTGACAACTCATCTCATCTCATTAACATTTCATTTCCACCAATTTCCTAAAAAAAACCAAGGAAATTGATTTCCTTAAATGTGAGTCACATCATCCAATAATATAATGACAACTCATCTCATCTCATCTATTTTCTTATTTTTAACAACGAACCAAACACAAGAAAAGAACATATTATAGGAAATAAGTTTCTTATAATACATTTCCTTATTTTTTTAATCAACCAAACAACCTTAAAATAAGTTTTCTTAAAAAATCACTTACATCATCCAATAATATAGTGACAACTCATCTCATCTCATCTCCTATTCTTTGATTTCCTTCTTTTTTTAGCCAACCAAACAACCATAATACAAGTTTTCCTATTCTTTGATTTCCCACTTTATTTTAGGCAAACAAACAGCCGATAGCTGTAATTTCACATGAGAACTTTTTCCGGGTAGTATTCTGATAATAGAAGGTACTAAAGTGTCAAACTTGAAAAGTTTAGAATATACAATTTGGAAAGCGTCAAAAAACGAAACGTTAACGTAGACAGATTCATTTTTTATTGCAATTGAAAAAAAAAAGGACAACGTAGACGAGTTCATTCTCTCACACAACATTTGCTTCCCACGAGCGGCCAACTCCCGCATTTTATTGAGGAGTCTCTGGCTCCATTCTAAGACCTTCGCCCTAAATTCTAGGGTTTCGAAAGCTCTCGATCGGTCTTCAGCAATGGCGTGCGTCATCACTGACTCCGATCTCACACTGCACGCTCTCCTCCTCAAAGCCTTCTCGTTGATCCCGACATCTTATTACGTCCTAGCCCTCTCCGTTTTCGCCCTAACCGTGCTATACAACTTTCTCGAGGTTCATTTTGTTCGAGATGCCCTTCGAGGGTTTAGGGGAGATCGAGTGGCGCTCACGTTCAACCCCTCTTCGGAAATTTACGAGGGTGTGGTCTCCAGGTGTCGGATTCTTCACGGGAGGTAAAAATTGGACGGTGAATTTCGTCGAATTTCGTTTTTCTAGGTCGGAATTGATTTAATTTGGGGGGTTTTGGTGTTGGTGAAAGGTACTTGGCGACGCCGTGGCTTGCGAGCCCTCATTTTCAGACTGCGTTCTTGAATTTTTTCGGGAGGCCGCCTTCCTTTTGTTATAGAAGGTAGCTAGTATTTTTACATTTGGGGTGCATGATGTTTAGTACTATAGACAATTGTAAATGAATCATAATTAATGTCGAGGAAGCTGGGATTTTCTTATGCACGAAGAAGAAAAAAGACATAGGGAAAATGGATATAATTAATTAATCACAGGGCAGACGATAAGTTACATGTCTAGTACAGTACAAAGTGTTGCCATTCTGCAATCAATGCCAGTTGTTTTGTTAACATTGTATGAAAGTTTGGTACATTTCATCATTTGTCAGGGGAAAAAATTTGAGTTTTTGTTGGATTGCAGTTGTTATGGTCAGTGGCCGATCCTGAAAGACTTTCTTAGAGGGACAGATGGGCTGCTAGTTTGTTTAGTGATTATATAAGTATGGATTGGGATGCAAATTCTTTAAAACAATGGGGGATGAAATGTAGTTTATGGAGCCTTTAAAATGTAATTTTGAAATTGTTAGGGTTGCAACTGCCCCCCTAATACTCGATATAAATCTGCCCCTGGTCATGCTGATGTAAGGATCAAAAGGCTTTTATAGTCAAAAGATTGCAAGTTCGTGCTCCGTGAAGCCTTTTATGTCATGGGAAGCTCGGTGACCTGTTGTTTGGGGCAATATAAAAAATAAGAATGTTTAAATATCAAAATTAATAGGTTATTGGAGTTAAGATTTTAGGCCAACTACTGTATTTTTTAATAATTTTCCACTAATTATGGATTATTCTACCAAATATCACAATTTATTTGACTCGACTGAGAAGACGTTGGCCTTTATTGTTTATGTATTTTAGTAACAATCAAGATTTTAAATGTCGGATGTCGGGTTCATATCGAATGGCAGAAATCCATGTCGGATAGCGAAAATCAGGGATATATCGGGGGACATTGACTAAATATCGGATTGCCATATCGGGTAGTGCGCATATGTATAATATCATGTCCTAAATGTAATCTAAGCATTCATAAATTCAATATAAACATACTTTATAAATTCTATAGACTAAACATATAAAAAAGTAAATAATATATGGATTTAGGTTCATAAATTCTTTCTATCGGGTTCATAAGAAACCCTTAAATATGAGAACGGGTTAAACGAGTTTGGGTATTTATCACTAAACCCAAACCCGATAACAAAAAATAGATCTTAAAAAAAAGTACCATATCGGCGGATTTTTCAAAGCTAAAAAATAGGCCGATATGCCCGATATGACCCTGATATTTCCGATTTGGCCCTGAAAACCGACATACGAGTTGAAGACGTCCATGTCGTGTCGGTCAAGCCCTCAAACCGATATGTCGCCCGACATTTAAAACCTTGGTAACAATCAGGATATGATTGTTGATCTTATTAAAGATGCTTTAATCATAACGTCTGAAACTTTGAGTTTGAACTGTGTTGAAGGACTACTTTCCATGTCAAGTTTAAAAATGCTACACAGACAGCAGCTCTTTGGTAAAAGAGGAGAACAATAGGAAAATAAAATAAAAGAAAAAGTAATGGCTATTAAGACGCTGTTTCTGCTTACCACTCTTACGTAAAACCTTAAGTCATTAGTTTTTCATCCTACATAGTTGGCTTTAATATGTTCCTCTCATGTGAAAGACAAAACAACTGCTGTGGGATTATAATTGCTTATTCCCAGTGCTTGAAATTTGGAAAACACGTTCAGACAACTGAAAAATGTTTAATTAGATGTGGGCAAACAACTTACCCAAGCGTCTAGACACGGGTTGTATTTGCATACGCATTGGCAACCATGTGGTCTTTAAAGAGCAAGAAAAATGGGCCTTCAACATTATATCTGAGGTTCCAATGTATAACAGTATAAGTCTATTAGTTTACCCAGCACATTAAAAAAGTTAAATGTGAAGAAAATAAATTATGTACAGTTTGCAATTTCACAGCTTTAATTTATTTTTATGGACATGCTTGCAATTATCTGACACCAAACATTCTAACACAGTTGAACATTGCCAACTCCTAGGCAAAACTCAGAAGTGAAATACTTGGGAAAGCTTATTTTGCTTGTGAAGAAATTTATTATCAGTTCTTATCGCTTTTAGTTTTATATGCTGAAGATAAAGAATACAATTTTTACATAACACTGAGATGGAACATCCTACATTGTACCTTGGCTAAGAAACTGTCATAATTAACTGAAATTGTGTCCTATTCTGCGAATTCTTAACCATCGAGACTGATGAGCTACCTGATTGGGATTACTCAGCTGAGCATTTACTTTAATACTGTTTTCAAGAGTCCAGAAAATTGTTGAATAGACAAATCTAGCAGGTTGGGATAGTTTTTAGATACCAATATGATGAGAATGATTTTCATGATATCCTTAAAAAAGTTCCTGTAGCTTCAGTTGAGTGTAAATGAGAAGGAAGCAATCAAGATGGTTTGTGCATGTACAACATGGCCCGATGATTGCACTATTTCTGGGTATTGGATCATAATTGGGGCAGTTGTAAGAACATTTATGAAAACAACTAATTAAGGCAGTGAAAAGGATATAAAAACTATTAATGTAGCTTGCCTGGAGACTACTAGATGGAGAAATGGTAGATAACACAGTTTGTACAATCACACTTAGAGGGTAATTTCTCAGCTTTTAACAATTATTACGTATATTTACACTCATGACACTTTCTAGCTTTAATATTGATAATGCTGATTCTTATTTTTCCACACTAGTGATAAATGATTATTTAAGAATGAAAATGCATTTGTGGAGTACCAGTATTGATATTAACACCAGATCAGAATCAACTTAGATGTAGTGGAGTATCATGGTACCGGGTGGATATTCTTTAATTACTTGCAAATTTGTTTGGATATGCTGTATTTTCTATTCATAGCGAGTTATCTGTTGCAACTCAGGCAATTATACACTGTGCATGATGGGGGAACTATTGCTTTGGATTGGTTACTTGCTTCTGATGGTAAACTTCCAATTCAAATTTTGGAATGGCATGAGATAAAGATGTAGTTCCTCTAAACTGTCTAGCTGAAGTAGCCAACTTTTCCAATATGCGTGAGTTCTTATGTTTAGTTTATGATTTCTTTCTTGCATTGCTACCATTTAGGATTAGTGGACTATTGACCAAAGTTTTTCCACGCATATAAACTATTATCGATAACGATTTGTGGCCTCCATGGGTCATAATATGATAGTATCCCAATATAGACATTTCCAAAAAGAGTTTTAGTTTGAAAAATCAAAATTTACTACTGCAACCGTAACTTCTTCCTGTACATTCTGTTTTAATGGTGACTGCAGACAATTATATATTGCTATGCCTTCTGTACACTTTGCAGTTGCAGGTGGTCCTTATGAAACTGGCAGGGTACTCTCTAAAGATGATTCAACTCCCCTTGTGATTGTGGTTCCTGGACTTACCAGTGATTCTGCTTCACCAGTAAGATGTTCCCTTCTATATTCCTTTTCTCCATTTTGTTGTTTCTTTTAATTACTAGATTGATGCTGTAGAACCTTAAAGATGAGTTTCATCTAAAATATCAATCTGAAGTAGTCAACTTTGCTAAATTCTGTCAGTTCTTATATTTCGCTTATGATTTTCTTTTTTGGATTTCTGTAGAACTGTAACCGGGTTCGTCCGGCAGAGAGTGGTATTACAGCTTTCTTTCTCTATCTTGATGAAACAGTATTGTAAAGCACTTAATACATGTCCCACAAAGGGAACTTGTTAGGATTAAGAAACAAAGCATAAATTTTCGTAGGTGATAGCAATATGCCAATACATGGTTTACTATTGGAATGACTTTGCGATTGAAATTATGATATATTTTATGAACTTCTTAGAAGTACAAAGTAATAATCTTCATATGACTGAAAAATTGCAACATTTATAATGAATCAAGTAGAAGTCGAAAGACTATGTTGTATGCATTCACTAGTATTTGTAATATTAAAAAAAAAGGAATTTGTGCAACATATGTCAATGGTATTTCCTGTATAAGTAGGAGTGGTGAACTTAAATTTTGACAGATAGAAAATAATGACCCAGTGATATACCAAATTAAATTGCTTTTCTTCATTTTCTTTTATGTTAAAAGTTTAACCTTATTGAATTATTGATTCGTTTACCATCCATAGAGCATTGTAGATTGCCTGGACTGCTATCTAAACTGTCCGGGAGTACAAATGGTGTTTGGCATAGAGGGGAAAGAAAGGGCGCAATGTTGCAGCTGCTTTTAAAAAAGTAAAAATAGTAAAAAATGAAAAATGGAAATGTTGCTTGATGCATGGAGGAATTAGTCAAGAACAAAGAGAAATGTATGTTTTGCTTGAAAGAATTACTTGCTAAAAGGGAGAATTGGCAAGTGGTTCCAGGATTTATTTACTGGAAGGCTGTCTCATAATTAACATCTAGGACTTTTTCCTTAAAAAACTATGGAGCATGTGCTTCAGAAAAGATTTACAAAATTTTACAACTGGCTTAGGACCTGACATCAATCTGTAAATTTGTGCTTATATAAGAGAAGTATGGAGCAAACATTGGTTCACTGAGATTACTATAAGGTCTGTTTGTAGATGGAAACCAAATCTTGTAGATTTTCCTGTCTAAGCTTAAGCAACCAAGGTCAAAATTCTCCTAGACTAAGAAGCTTATCAAAGATGGAGATATATAGATTGTCAGTAGGGAAGCATTTATCTGTATTTATGGGTAAAGAAAAAGAGCCAAATAAAAGACATTCTTAAAGTGAATGGAGACGTCTATTCACCAAAACGATAAAAATGAAAAAAGAGAAATATGTACATGTGAATGTAAGTGAAACAAATGATGTAAGTGAATTTAATTCTCATATAAACTCTACTGCTATTAAGTCCATAGCTCTCCACCCTTCTTAGTCTGATATTTGCTAAGCAGGAGGTTCCGGCTATGGTACTTGCTTGGCCTAAAATATATTAGCTTATATGTTGTCTAAACAAAGCTTGAAAGTGGAAGTCATTCACTGACTCCTTTAACTTACAAAGGATCATCCATCATTATAGTTTCCTCAGAGAAAAGGAAATATAGATTTTTTTAAAGGTGACACTTCATAAAGAGACTCGTCAGATTCTTCCTAGTCCTAATGTGTGGAGCGTTATAGTGGCTGCCAAAGGGAAATGCTTGCCCATCCTTAATTGCATAGTTAGAGGAGAATTAAAGAGAGTCTATGTGGAGCAGAGGGACAGCCTTTCTCTAGAAAACTAGGCAAGAAAATCATTAACTAAAGCACAGATGGATAGTGTGTAACTCTGTGACAATTTCCATGTCTAAAAAGAGGTTCAAGCATTTGGTATATGTATTATTAGGATAGTGTCAGGAGGACAAGGGCCTGCATTCTATTGTTAGAAATGTGTTTATCTTCTAAAACTAACGAACGATTTTGGATGTTCCCAAGCGTTCGCTTGAAGTGTTGATTAGTTGTAAAGTTGTGAATAACAAGATTTTGGTTTACAATGTGAGATGTAAATGCATAATCCACATAATTCAGATCGGTTGTTTGGTTGATCTAACTTTTTCTGATGCACTGTAAATGTTATGTCTACTATTTGCCTTAGTTATGGTCATGAATTTTGGTATGAATGAAGGTTTAGGCCCAANAAATCATAAGGAAGAAAAGAGAAATGCACCAACAATGCACCCCACCAATTTACCCATATGCACCCATGAACATACAGTCAATATCCACCCACAAACATCCAGACAAAGAGGTGTATATCTAAATTGTCATGATTTTTTTAATATATACTGTCTCTAGTGATATGCATAGCTTTAGCAGATAATTTAGTTTGTTGCAGGTGCTCTTCTATTCAGGTTATTTTTTATTTACTTGAGTGTCCTTTACCAACTGTTGTTTGTGGGCCGGGTAACACTTTTAGCTGTTTTAGGATTATATTAGTGTTTGCTTAATTCTTTTGCATTTTATGGACAATGCAGTACATGAAGCATCTAGTTCACAGTTTCGCAAAGCAGGGTTGGAATGTTGTTGTTGGTAACCATCGGGGTCTGGGTGGCGTCTCGCTAACAGTAAGTTCTCTTTTACTTAAGTGATGATGATGATGATGCTTTTGTGGTATAACGCTTCCTGCATGCTGAATTCATTCAAGAAAACAATTTAGTGGAAGTTAACTGCCAACCTATTATTATGATAGGATCTGGGGTTGTAAATACTTGATTCATAATTTCATTTGTAAATGTGGAAGAAGGCTTTTGTTTGTTTCAGTTTCTTGGCTAATTTGTGAAATTTGTATAATGAGATTTAATCACTTGGACTTCAAACTCATTGTGGAAAATACTAGTTTCTCATCTGGATGGACTGTTACTAGTAGTATTATAAAATACATGATACTGATTGATAGGTTAACTTTTGTTTCAATGTTTTGGTGTTTTTGGTCTCTAACCTTGTGATTTGTATCAACATTTGGTTTGTTAACTTTTGCAGATAGGTTCGCGCTTGCATAGTTTCCTAGCTGAAAAACACTCATAGAGATATGTATGCAGCGGTATTTGTAGCATGCCTATCTGCTACATATACGTGCTGATTCTACATAAGTATAGATGCATGTTCAAACTTCTTTCTTTGCTTGCATAACACATTCTCTTCTCTTAGTTCAGATCTATTTTTACTTCATGAAAGCAAGTTTGTACTCGTAAGGATGTAACACAAGAAAGTGACAAACTCTGAAAATCAAGGATATGGTAGATCATTAAATGTATGCATGTATTTGGAACCAGTGGTTAAGTGCATAGGAGGAAATTTCCTCCTTGGCCCATGTAGAACTCGAATTTTCATGTTTCCTGCATTTAATTGGAACCTTCATCATTCTCTTAAAATGTGTATGGATGAAAAAAAATATGTAATTTAGATACACTTTAGTCATGAGTTTAGTGGTTTCATTTCTTCTATTAGTGTAAAGTTATCAATTCCACAACCATCTGCTTGCTATTTGATTAAAGGAGATGATGAGCAATAAATTAATTTAAATCCATTTAGCAAGATGCAGAACCTTGAAAAGTAGTATGCTTGAATTACAATACTCATATAAAATAAATCGGTGCAACCACTAATAAAAATATCAAGATCCTAAAACTTCAATTATTAAACTTTTGTTTAAAATTAACAATCAGAAAGTTGATTGATAGCAGAAGTAGTTAACTGCAGTCCTTAATAGATAAAAGAATCTAGAGTTATAAAGGGAAAGGAAATTGTATGAGATCTTTGAACAGCCTTAATGTTGAATTAGGGTTCCCCCAAACCCTATCATATTTAAGCCTGACCAAGTTTATCAAGATGAACCGACAACTCAGATCATGTTTGGATTTGATTTCTCAGTTCCATAAGTCAATGAAAGATAATCTTATATGAAAATACATGTTGGATTTTCATGTACCTGGTGAACACTTGTCTATGCATATCCCTTCCAGATATTTTTTGTATACACGTGTCTGACTCATTTTCAGCTTGTTTGCATAACATTAGCGTGCTGGTGCCCTGAATTATTTCATGTAGTTGGCATCAAAAGAAGCATATTCATCTTCATGTTATCCAAAGTGGGTCACCTGTGGAGCATATTTTATATTGAATGGTCTCCTTTGCCAAGCTTTCATAACTACACAACCTGTTGTGGACCCTCCTAGTTGGTGATCAGGCTTCAAAAAATGTAAACAGTAAATACTACTTTTCACGAATTTAGTATTCCAGTTTCAGTAGCACAAAATCAACACTATGTATTGTGATGTTTAAATTCGAACGATGGAGGAGCATCCATTAGACATCTGCTGGACTTTGTTAGAGTCAAAAATAGGAAAGGTGATAAAGGTTGCTGTGGAAAATGTATTCATTGGTGAGGCTGAGGCATAATAAAAGCCTAAACAGCTAAAAGAAATGATTTCAAATTGCATTTGTCATATGGTATACACTATTAATCATCTTTCATGCCATTTTTTGTCTTTTACGTCACACTATAAAACTACATTCTTGCCATGGTTTTAAATAGCATGCAATCATAAGATATTTCTCATCATCTTGGTCAGTCTGATTGCTTTTATAACGCCGGATGGACAAATGATGTGCGTGAAGTTATTAACTGTCTTCATCAAGAGTACCCCAAGGCTCCTCTCTTTGCCATTGGGACAAGCATTGGAGCAAATGTCCTGGTATGCAATCAAAGCAATTTTCTCTTTGCCTGTTTTCAGTTTGATGCAGAATGGTCTGTACTCTAGATTGTCAGGCTTTTTATTTCGTAATTCGTAATTCTAGTAGTATCAAAAAATTTTAATTGGCTGTTAATTATGCGTTATGTCCTTTAGACTAAGAAATATATGCATTAGGTTTGGAGTTGTATTAAAGGGATGCCTACCAACTTTTATTGTTAGCAACATAGTTATGAAATTCTCTGGACCTCTCGAACTGTCGTACGGTTCGCACATTCTGCAATGTGGTACGTTGCCATACTTGTTAACTACTGGTATGCGAAGTGGTTCACCAACATTGGTGTACCTCTTGCCACTTATAGAAACTCAGAATTGAAAAGAAAGCATACAAATGGCGGCTATAACACACTCAATTTTTTTTGCTGAAAATCACAGGAACTGGAGTAGAATTTTATAAATTATTTTGCAGAAAATCACTGGAACTGGAGTAGAATTTTCTTTTAAAGATGCTTGGTCTATAATTTATGTTTTTCATGTCTTATCTGTTCAGAAATTTTATTGCTGAAAATCACAGAAGAGAAGAGGAGTAGCAAAAAATTAGTTAAGGTGCTTAGTCAATAGTTTATATGCTTTCCATATATTATATATTAAGAAATTTTGAAAGTGAAGCATTGAAGTATTTGGTAGCAGAAAATATTGAAATGCATAATTGGCTTTCTAATTTCTCATTTTCTACTATTCACTTTGAGAAAATGTTTAGTCCATCCAAAAAGATTACAATGTACCACGTGCTGAACTTGCATACCAAAGGAACCTAACCCCCGAGTTCATACATTGCTAAGTGGGGAATTGCATAACCGAATTAATACCACGACCCGTCATGTATTGCATATTATGTAACTATGGTTAGCAGGTTTGGTTGGCCTAGGGTTGTCAGGCTGATTATCCAGGATCATATCTTCCTGGATGCTTATATTGCTATATAGAAACCATCCACTCACCTTTGTTGTGAGATAATTTTTAGGAATTTTTCAACTCACTAGAGAAAAAAGAGAAAGCACTTTGTGGAGTCTGAAGCAGACCAGACATAATGCAAAAGGAGTAGTCATGAGTTTAATATCTCCTTGTGAAGCCTTTGTGTAAGTCCAAGGAATGAGCCTGCCTGTATGGACATACTTTCCTTTATTAGGATTTATTGCATCTATACTTGGAAATTAGAATCTTTTAAATCTTTACATTTTTACTTGAGGAAATTTTACAAGCACATTACTTGCTGCATTTTTCAATGGCATATTAAGTTTTGCATAGTTTATCTGTAAAACCAGTCATATGTGATCTTATTTCAGAGTTTTCTGGTGGTAGAGAACCAAACTGATTTAAATTATCTAACATGTAATATTCTATTTGAACTCTCAACCTTTATTGGTGCTGGGTTTAGGTTAAGTACCTTGGAGAAGAAGGGGAGAACACTCCTCTTGCTGGGGCATCATCTATTTGTTCTCCATGGGATCTTTTGGTCAGTTTGCTCAAAGTTTCATTACCTAAATTTATCCTTATCTAATTAACTTGAGCATTATCTTTCTTATATATCCATTCTCTGCTTCTGAGTTTGTCATCTCAAAACTAATGGTACATCATGGTATATTTGCAATATTTAGTTATATACTTTACGATTTACTTAATACTTGCTCTGTAAATTTCTAATTTTCTTTGCAGGGTCTGATCATGTATGGTTGAGATTTTCTATGGAAGTCTTAAAAATGGGGTCTAACTGATATGTTGTACTTAAAAGTAGATATTTCTTAAAAATTGTACCTCTGTGGTCAAGTAATGCATTAATGAAAATAATTTAAATTACATAACTAACTTGATATTAGTGCTATAAGTATCTTCATGAGATGCTGCAATATATTAGTCCATAGCCAGAGTGCGTAAGTTGTCCAAATTCATCTCTGATATTCTCTGGTTGTAAAATATGATGCGAGAATGGCTATGTGCCGCAGCAGCTTCTTCGAAAATTAGATACCCTCCACATGCTTTGCGGTGTTTTGCATTTGGATTAACTGATCAAGATATGGCAGGTGATTGACGAGGAGTTTCTGAAAGGACTTAACATATGAACTAGCGACCCAGCTGCTTCACGAAATGCCTGTTCATTCAAATTTGTATACATCATTTTGGATCCTATTTTTCGAAAACTGTGATGGACATTATTGTCGTTCCACAAGCACATGTGGATTATGATTGTGCATTCCGTCATGTTCCATTTCAAATATGAATTCTATGATAGTTTCATAACATTAAGATACTCTTTATCACTATATTAGAATCGTGTGTTGTCATAGATTACCTGTTGATGTATTAAAAATCGTCTGGTTGCTAGTTGGTGTGCTCATTATCTTTTTTGAATTCCATGGTTGGCTTTCTCTGTGAACATTTTATTTTATGTCAATCAACGGAGGCATATTTTGTAATGTTTGATTGTTGTCTCAAATACCTTAAGGATGCAGTATGTAAATCTTGAAGTAAAATGTAATGGGAAAAAAGTTTTTTGTATGTTTAATCAAGTAAATTAATGGTTAGTGCCTTCATGGGATTTTAGTATGATTATCTAGCAAAAAAACATAAACAAATGGGACAACCAATAAGTAAGAAATAATGATGAAAGTTTTTTTTAGAAATGAATGTGTGCTGTCGAGACCATGGTGCACATATTTTGCTTTGGATCATGCAGTTCTGTTGTATTCAACTGTTTACATGCATAAAAAGATTGGTAACCTAACTGCAAAAGGTGAACCAATTTCAGTCAAAGAAAATTGAAGCCCATTTTGAAACTCTAATGGGCTTCCATGTTTAACGTTGAAAAAAACTTCAACAACAGAATACACATCCTCTAAGAACAGCCCACGTGCAAGCAGTGTGTTATGTGCCATACAAGGAGGTGTGGGGGGAGTGAAATCTCCAATTTGTCTACTGCTACCTTTGTGACACGGAACAACCTAATCTCAGCGTTCTGTTAGAATATGCACTGACAACAACAAAGCCATTATTCAAACTTTTTGGTTTGGCTACATGAAATTTATTTTTTCACAGTTCTATTGAGGGCTTTAACTTCCATTCAGTTAATCATTATCATATCCTTCTTTATTTCTTTCAACCAAGTTGTATGGTTCATGCTATGTTGATTCTTTTTCTTTGAAAGTATTTCAGATAGAGTCCATTGATTTTGTTTCTTTCAACTAGTACATTTGAACTTCAACAAACATTTGTTTCAACATTAGATGATTCCTTCAGACGCTTGTCTGAAAATTTATAAAAATTTGTCTGAATCCATAAATTTGACAAATGAAACTAGCCTAAATGGAGATTGGTTGGGCATTATTGATCTTCCATGCATGTTTGCAGATCTGCGACAGGTTTATTAATCGCAAGCTTATCCAGCGGTTGTATAACAGAACTCTTGCTACTGGGCTTAAAGGTTACGCTCAACTGTATGTTCCCATTAATCTTACACCTGGCAAAGTAGTCGTCGTAAATTTTATTAAGAAATTTTCTGAGCCGCTAAATTTTCTTTTAAAGGTTTTCCCATGAAAATTTTCATTTAGATGATAAGATCTTCCTTTTTTTGCTGTTCTTGCAGACATCAGGCTATTTATACTCGGCTTGCAAACTGGGATGGGATCAGCAGTGTACGCTTCCTTTTCTCTTCTTTCTGTATTAGAAGCTCTTGCATGTTGGGTACTTCATTTAATAAATGACTTTTTAAATGCTAAAACATGTTCTTGGACCCCCAAGTAATTACTGGTGCATGCTTTTATTACAATTTCAGGAGTCCATTTCTTTTTCTCTTGTTTAAATATTCTTAGTTTACACTTACAAACATAGGAGCTGAGGCATGCCAAGATAAGATAGTGTGTTGCTGTTTTAGACCTACAGATTTAGCACTGATGGATGATAATGTGCTTTGTTTAATTGTTTGCCTTCCACCCGTCAGTTTCAACCTTTGGGCTTTGGGTACAAGTGATACCAACATGATGTTCAAAGCACTAGCAGTAGAGAGGTACTTATTTCACACCACACACACTTTTATTCCTTGCTATCCATATGAGGAAGTGGCGGACGTGTCCTCTTCCACATGGAAAGTACCGTGTGTACGCATCTGTGTTGTGTGTATGTGGGTCTGTGAGTGCGTGTGCACACACATGCATGTCTGTTTAGTTTTATGAGGCTGGATGGGATTATTCTTGAGTGGCCGAAAATTAAATGGAATGGAAGTATAGGATTCATGTAGCCGACTTCAGACATTTGGGATATAGACTTTCTTGTTGTTGATGGGGTTATTCTTGAAAAGAAATGTTTTTGATATATTATATCATATATATTTCTAATTTCTGGCCAGAACTAGAATTTTAGGGTGCCATTTGGTCTTAAAGATTGCTAAATTATAGTTTTTGTAGCTGTGTCATTGTATTGCATACGGCCTTTCTGGACCTATATATGTAGTTTTTGCAAACTGTAGTTTCATTAACTTCATGGCTTGTTGGCTACCAATTGGTGGTGTCACTGAACTTGATTCTGATAAGAAGAAAGGGAAGTGCTAAATTTTGATGAGAAGGTAGAGATATGAAAAACAGGACATGCTCAATTTTATAAACTTTAGTTAGCTTAGCTTTTGAGGTTAGATACTGCAAGTTCTTTAGCTATGAGTGATCACCAAACATATTTTTGATATCTCAGAGTTACTTAAATATAGAAAACATCAAATAAGAAAACTCAATTTTAAAGCCATCTTTTTCCCTAGTTGGTTTTGTATTATATTTGTGATTATTGATTCATCACAGAGATCACCTTTGCTTTACCATTTGGGAATGCGTCATGCTATCACTTATCTCGTTCTTTTGTTGTGGTCTTTGCAGTCATACTCTGTTAGGGACTTTGATAACCATGCCACTCGTGTTGTTGCAAATTTCGAGGTATTAACTCTCATCTACTTATACGCCTGTAGATTTTGTAGGGGTTAATGAGCATCATCTATTGTTGCTCAGACGGTGGATACATACTATCGCCACTGCAGTTCTGCTAGTTTTATCAAGGGTGTATCTGTTCCCCTCCTCTGCATTAGTGCGTTGGATGATCCAGTTTGTACAAGCGAAGCAATTCCTTGGGATGAGTGCAGGTATAATAGTTCCCTTGTTACTTTTCTGAAATTTAGGTTTGCTACTAGAGCTATATAGCCCACATCATATTTTTGTTTGGTTAACATATTATCCTTTTTGCTTTCATAGGGCGAACAAGAATATTGTTTTGGCAACCTTACCTCATGGAGGTCATCTAGCATTTTTCAAAGGGCTTAATGCATGCAGTTTATGGTACGTCAGTATTCATCTTGCATTCTCCAGCCATTGCATCTAGCTCTTGCTTATCTGTCATGGCATCCTAACTTTTCGATAAAGTATCAGGCCACTGAGATTAATAACACAAACTCTTATAGCAAACCTTTATCATTTCCAGGTCTTGGCGAAACGTCTGAGATTTTCTTTGATTTCATAAGCTTAAGGGAAAAATGCTCCCTCTCCTATATAAGTTTCAAACATGTGGTCTTCTGCACTTTGACTAAGCGAAGCTAGCATATCCTTCCTATTTTAAAATTTTCATTCACCTCCTTTTACAATTTAAAAATAGCAGTATTATCCTGGTCCTTCTCCATCTCCCACCACCCCACCATCTCACCCATCCATCCCCTTCCCCTCTTGCCCTCTTCTGGTTTATAATAAGCCTTCTTTTATGTTAATGTGTCCATTTTTATTCATTTGATCCCTTTTTCATATGAACTATGTACCTTTCATACATTTTTTCTTTAATATAATCTTTCTATCTTTATCTAATATGTCCATTTTTCATGAGTTTATCTATCTTTTATATATTTCTGTCCGTCTATCATATAAAACTTTGTACCTCGTATGTTATATCCACCTTTCGCATATGTTTATGTACCTATTGCTTCAGTGCTCCGATAATAGGAGTTTTTTTAAATATTTAAATCGGTAAAATATAGAAAATGGGCTAAAATATAGGATGGATGCTTTTGTCTTTCATTATTTCTATTTTAGTTTTTCCTTATCTTTCCTGAAACAGTTACTCCTATTTTTTCTCAGCCTCGAAGTTCACGCAAAATCTCCTTTTTTATATTCTCTGCGTTCCATGAAAGCAGCTAAGATATGATTGAATAATAACTTTCTTTTTGTAAACTAGACCAATAAAAGAGAGAGAACATGCAGTACATGATTATGTTTTTGAAATAACTTTAGTGAAACAACATAAATAAGATACAAGATTTTATCTATAGGATTTTATATTAATTTTTTAGGAAGTAAATTTGAATGAGGATAGAAAATTTTATGTTAATTTTATTCAAATATTTATTATATACAGGCAAAATTCTTATTGATTTCACTTTTTTAAATTTCTAACTAGAAAACTATATAGATAAAATTCAGAATTTTTTTATATTCAAATATTTATCGTATACAGATAAAAATTCTTATTTACTTCAAACTTTTTTCAATTACAAACTAAAAGTTATAGATAATATTTTGAAATTTTTCATTACAAATATTTAAAAGAAAAAGAAAAACTAAACTTACTAAAATTTATTTATACAAACTTAAAATAAGAAATCTGTGGAATTTTATCTATATCTATGCATCATTCGAAAGGAAGAACAAGAAAATTAGGCACTAGGTAGGGAGGTATGAGAAATAACTGTTGTTTAAACTTAAAATAAGAAATCTGTGGAATTATATCTATATCTATGCATCATTCAAAAGGAAAGAACAAAAAAATTAGGTACTAGGTAGGGAGGTATGAGAAACTAACTGTTGTTTGATAATAGATGTTGGAAAGCAGTTTTTATCCACATTTTAATTCCCAACTTCCCAAAATATCCTTATTCTTGTCTTAGATTTTGACTTATTTATGAAAATGGGTGCGGAAACCGCGGTAAATCTGTATCCTAATTCCTAAAATTGAGGATTTGTGGGAGAAGAAATTGCACCAAAAGTGCCATCATACGGAAGCTGTCGGCTTCATATAAATGTTTCTATCTTTTTATAATTTGTTCACATTTCATATCATATGAATCTATCTACCTTTCTCTTCTTTCATTCTTTCTTTTTGTGTGTGCGTGCGCGTTTGATGGAATCTACCTTTCGTTTCTTTAACGGGCTGTTTGGTTGCTTTCCTTCATTTTTCAAAAACAATTTTTCTTCACTTTTTTGTGTTTCCTTCACTTTCGTGTAAAGTGTTTCTTATGTTTGTTTCGCTAAAAAATATGTAGTGAAAGTACTTTCCATCACTTTTCTTAGTTTGGTTCAACTTGAAAAAGAAGAAAACAATTGATGTGTGAATAGATTCTCTCATTTTTCAGTGTTTGGTTCAAATAAAAAAAGAAGAAACAATGACTATGGTCGCCATTGTGTGCTTACCACCCATATGGAATAAAATTATTTTCAACATAAATTGAGAGGTGAACGTATATCAACCGCCACAAAAAAAATTTTAAAATTTTGAGGGACTAGTTTGTAATTTTTTAAAAAGATTTGAGGTAGTGATTTGCAAAATATTTAAAGATTTGAGGGGCTAATTTCAAAATATGAATAGTTAAGGGAAAATTTCTAAATGTCCCATATTTGAGGAACTAATTTTAAAATTGAGGACATAATATTACCCCCGAACATAAAAACTTATATATATCTAGACACCAGACAAGGAAAATGATGTAAGTTATACAACTCCCAAGCTTTGTAGAAAATACAAGTAGACATATGTTGTGCAAATATTTCAACTACAAAGATTTATCAGTTATATGGATACTCCAATACTTACAGCATCTATCATATACTCCTATTGACATACCATAAACACATAAAGATGCATTAACAATATACATTAGACTATTCTAATGTACAAAAAAGAACCTGGCTCAGTTCTGGTCATTTTCTTGATTGTATGCCTCACCAAGAAATCATAGTAGCAATGTTGGCTGCATGTATTGCCTCACCAATAAGTCGCTAATATATAATTTTGGTTGCATATATAAAGAAAAGACCATCATCATAGCCATGTCATGTAACCAATAACCAATAATTGTTATAAGCCAGCCACGAACACATTCTGATGTATTTCATGATGTCCAAAGAACGGGTTTGTCATTATATGCATTTGAACTTCAGTAAATCAAGATAACATATAGTATTGATATATGAATACCAACTGATTTTGCATGTGTAGGATTGGACTCAAATTCTATTGTTAGCACCTTTAGGTGGAAAATACAGACTTAAGAACGCACATAAATGCAACCATAGTGACAATATTGCCAATCAATCAGTTATTGAGATAAAATTTTAGGATTTAAATGGTACTGCTCAAGTTTGAAACTATCCAAGACTAAAATCAAGGCGTCAACCAAATCAATAACAAATATTCACAATTTTAAAACTAAAGCAAGTCATATAACCAAGAACTAAAAACCAAACACCAAGTCACATAACTAGGAACTAACCACCAAGAACCAAGCACCAAGGTTACAGGGCTCAGTTGGATTGAAGTGGATGGTGGGGTTCATGAGTTTGCTGCTGGAGAAGACTTATCCTAAATTTTTGAATGTTTTTGTACAAATCCAACATTGTTATTGGCTGACACAAATAATGCAAATTATTGTATATATCTGAGGCCATTTATCGTCAAGACATCATTTTACCAACATATAATGCAAACAAGTTCATCACAGTTACACAGAAGAGAACGCTTAATGCTGGAATCAATTGGGGGAGGAATGGGCCTCTAACCTTGTTGAAAAGCAAAATGAAACCAACTTGTCTGAAACCAAGACTCCAACAAGCCAAGTTTGAAATAATTAATAAACTTACTGGATTTATAGAAAAAATTGCTCAAAAAGGCCATTTCTTCATTATTTGCTAATAATCAATCAATCAAAAATTATTTGCTAATAATCAATCAAAAATTCAATCAAAAATTATTTGCTAATAATCCTCTCACCAATAAAATTATTTGCTAATAATCAATCAAAAATTCAATCTTATAGATCAAGATAAACAAAAATCCATCATTAATTCCTAAGAAAAATAGAACAGATACCTATAAAACTATGATTATATACGGTAATTTGCCAAAATATTGAAAAAAAGAGCATATCGGAGATTGACAGTTCGAGATTGTACCTTGGTGGAGAGAGAGAGCCGAAGTCGAAGAATAGACAGAACAGTGCCGATCAAAAAACCAAAAGAAGAACGTGAGAAATTGGAGGGAGAGAGTGAAATGAGAGGGAGAACGGTGTGGTGATCGTAAACCTAGGGTGAAAGAAGAGGGCAAAGCCAATTGCGTTTTTATTCTCTTTCCATCAATTTCTGTCCAACTTTTTTTTGTCATTTAAAACGAACCAAACACCCAGAAACCACGAAAACCGACAATTTAACCATTGTCAGTTTTTGTTCGTGGGCTTTTCTGCTCGTTTCAGCCCAAACAAACAGCCCCTAATTCTACTTCTTGTATATTTCCATCGACCGTTCATATAAATCTTCCTATTCTGTATATGTTTTAATGCACTTCATATGTTTTTAGCTACCTTTCATATAATTAACATATTGATATACTATGTTCACTTTTCATGTGAAACTTTCTAGCTTCATAGATCATGTTTTCCAATCTACCTTTTGTATATTTCTGTCTGCCTTCCTGTGTAAATATTCCTCCTTTTACGTAGAATCAACTTATCTTTACATAGTATGTCTTTTTGTTAATATAAATATTCCTCCCTTTCTATGTACTTTTGTCATAAATCTTTCTACCTTTAGATAAGACATCCACTTTTCACATGAATCTACCTCAGATGTTCCTATCTACCTTTGTTTTGTTTCTATCTAACTTTACATCAAGATTATTAACGGATTTTAAAAGTCACTAATTCCTTCAATAGACCTTATCTAATTGATTCTGTTTTGTTCCGCATGTTTTACTTTTACCAAGTGAGGAAAATGCTTGGAGATGATCACAAATTGAGTTGGATAAAATTCTAAATGATCTTGTGGCAAATGGCTCATATGCTTGGAGATGATCACAAATTGAATTGGATAAAATTCTGAATGGCAAACGGACCCTGTGCATTCGGTGCATTAATAATAAACTGCCACCATAATTTTTATCTCAAGGGGTTTACTGACTGTCCTGGACCCGAAGTCACAAGTTGAACTTTAGACTCCTTTATTTTTGACATCGAACTGAATTTTCATTTTAGCTATCCTCTTTCCATTATCTTTAGGGATTAGAAGCTTAACTTTATTCTCCACCTTTAGTCTGAATATGCACGTACCACTTCCACTTTGTTCCCATCTTCCGGAACCACTTCTAGACAAGACACTTATCATGCACCTCACGTCACATACCTAGCCCTTCTTGGAGTAATATTAACAACTACCGAATAATAAAGATGATAAACTGCATTGGATACAACAGTGTGCATTAATAAATGTATGCATTACTAATATACTGAGCTCATTTTGATCTACCCATCATATATTGAGCAAATATTAAGCACTCATATCCCACTTTAGAATTCTTATGCTTGATTAACTTCTAACTTTATTGTTACCTCCTAACTTGAATTTTGTTAACTGAATATGAGATGCAAATCCAACAAAGAATTTTACAGTGCACATTTAATCTTACATTATAAAATTGGACATGCACAAATTGTTATTGTACTTGCTCCGGATCTCGCATTATTCAGCAAATAATAGCTTTGTGTGCAGCATGTTTTGTGATGTGCAGCATGTTTTGTGATGTGCTGCATGTTTTGTGATCCCAACTTTTGGGAGTTGTATTTATTTCTTTCCTATTTATTAAAAAAGTTTCAGCAAAGCACCTTTTAATTGTCATCACGTATGACACGTACATAGTATATTATTTAAAATGGCCTCATAGACAGATGGACTGTGTGAGACTGTGAGCAGGAACGTGTCAAATAGTTGTTCCATGTCCGTTATGAAGAATTATTGTGTTCTTTGCAGGTGGGTTGGAGCTGTCAGTGAGTTCTTTTCTGTTTTATACTCTAGCCCATACATGCATGGACAGCAACAGGTATCATATTGGCCTTAAAATCTTCCTCATGTATTATATGTGACATACGTAAATTTTCCAGAACTTACGAAGGAAGCATTTCACATGTGATATTTTCTTCAACTCATACTCCATATTATTCCTCCTGCAAAACCTATTTTCAAACAAGGTTTCACATTACTGCTGAAAGATTTCTTCAGGTTTTACAAACTAATTTTAAAAATTTCTTAAACCAACTTAACCACTACTAGGTATTTCATGTTACTACAAATTTTCTGGATATTCTCTTCTCATGCATTTGTGGCATGCTGACGTATAAATATGGGGGATACTGGATGTAAGTTGTCACTTAATCTAGCAAAATGAGACATCAAGAGATGAAGCGGTGAGACCATTTGGCAAAATAGGCCTCACCATTAGTCTATCCCTTGGTAGCTCATTAAGCAAAATGAGCTGCCACCTCATGCCTATTTTTCCATAAATATGGAAGTTATTCCATATTACCATTCATATGCCTGAAATTGTCTAGTCTGCGAAAGTCCTGATCTCTGTGTGATCAAAGTATGATTGCTTTACTGTGTATCCATGACTATTGTTGAACTATAAGCTGCAGTTGGCTCAAAAGCTACCAGGCTGTTTTCTATTTATCTTCATTATAGAGCTTATATTATCACACTTTCTTATGAAGCTAAGTTGTTGACTATATTGCAGATGGAGGATACTGTGGTTGATTCTCCTCTGGAGTCTTCAATTGATAAGTCCCCCTATGTAAATATCATGGAACATGGACTTATTGCTGCAGTGAAGAATGATGAGCCCGATGATGACAAAGTAATGACCTCTGCTAATACTCAGACAACTTATGAATTGAAACACGATAACAATGGTACAATTCGAGAGGGGAATGAAGATAGAACCGAAATGGGAACTGCTGCTGCTGCTCATGATACCATAACAGCATATGAAGACAGAATTTCCAAGGTTTTTGATAGTATGGCTGTACAAGTAAAGAGATCGATGAATCAGCTATCGAGGCAGAGTGGGAGGTCGATGTGGCTATTGGCTTATATCGCCATTGTCACAACTTGGCCTTTGCTTGGTTCTTTTGTTCGTGCTGTCTTCAGAAAGAAGTTGAAATTATAGCTGTACAAGCTGATTGGTGGTATATTATGCAAGTGTAATGTGTACTTCTGCATTATGTTCATGCGTTTTTTAATATACTGTTACGTATCTGGAATAAATAAATAAATAGTTGATACAATATCCATGGAAGAGTGAATTGTTCAATGACTAATGGTTATTCAATATTTACTTATTTTATTCACCAATTTACGTAGCGGCTCATTTGCTAAATGCGCTGCCGAGAGATGAAGGTGGTGAGGCCCACTTTAAAAGTCACATGGGTGGGATCTCTTGGTAGCTCGGGATCTCTTGGTAGCTCATTTAGCAAAGAGGAGCACTAGGGGCACACCTTGGGACATACTCCCAACCACACCCCTCACCTGCTACAGTGCAGGGGGTCCCACTTGAGATTTTTTAATCACATGGGTGGGATCTCTTGGTAGCTCGGGATCTCTTGGTAGCTCATTTAGCAAAGAGGAGCACTAGGGGCACACCTTGGGACACACTCCCAACCACACCCCTCACCTGCTACAGTGCAGGGGGTCCCACTTGAGATTTTTTAAAAAATCTCAAGTGGGACCCCCCT